CACTTTCAATCGGTGCAACTGCTATCGTGGTCATCCATTGAACAGGTGTAGGGGTTAACGCTCCCAGAACACATAACTTTCTCAACTTTAAACGAAATTAATCAGCGTATCGCTGTTTCCAGCTCCGAATACAAATTTCGTAACGTCATACGTCCGACGAATACGTTTCGTACCTACGAGGGGAGTATAATCGTCTCTTCCCGGCACGTAGGGTCGTACGGATAATCACGAACCATGCATGGTCGGCGCTATACAGCCTGGACGCGTTTGCCCCCCGGAGTCCCTAAAAATTTTATAGTTTCCTCGCGGCACGCTCTCCCACGCGCGATGGACAAGGAAAACGTGTCGTATCGTCGAAAACGATCGACGCCACCAGCGAACGTGGCCGAGCATTAACGCGACTCGGAACACCGACTCACGTGCCGTCCTGTGTCGGCCGTGAATCCTTCTGGGAATACAAATTGGACAGTTTCTCGGGGCGTCTTTCCATCCGAGCGTCATGAAACGGCCGCCGCGTGACTAACGGTAACCCCGTGGCGTATTCGCGAGTTACGATAGGTCTTACCAGCGTTATTTCACCGGGCTCAGTACGTGGAAAGTACACGCAACCGTCACGGTTTCGTTTTCGTTCGCAACGAAACGTCCGAGCAACGGTAGCTCCTTCGATCTCCTTCAACGTTTGACCAGATTTCAATCCTTGGATCGTAATTTGCGTTTGCAGGGTGGTAGATTACATGCATCGTAGGCTGTATACGAAATATTACGCGTCAGGATTCGATAGTTTCGGAGATACGGGTATACCTTGATAAAGCGCATCTTTCCAACCTCGATAAAACGCATCGTTGCCGTTTTTCGTTGTTTGGCGCTAGGGACGGCTCCGTTACGCTTTATTTGGACTATATTAGATGGATATATGCTTCATGTGAGTGTGTAGCTTGATAGATACTATAGATTCGAGCCATGGTCGCAGTCTTGTGTCACTTTTAGCGACTCGATTCTCAAATTATACTGGTACTTCTGTGTGTAATGTTTTGAAGTTTTGTTGCTAAATAAAATAACACTAAACACAGCCACAAAATAGGAAATACAGCAAAATTCACTTTTATTAAAAGAATATAGTCTTGTCTTGGAACTTAAATACATTTTCATTAGAAATATTTGATTTCATCAGAACAGTGAACTTTTTCAAATAATAATCCAACCCTCAGTTCTTTCTATTAAACGTACACACGTGTAATAAATGATGAAACATTTTTCTCATAGAAAAAAAAGAAAAATCCTTTCGTTTAAGAAACTAGAGTACTACTTCATCAATCTTCGTTCGAAGGAGTTTGCATCTTATTTTGAGAACAAAATAGGATTTTATCGAGTATCGTAGAAAAGGAAACTAACGTTGTTCGGAATGTTGTGTTTAGCTCTGTGGATTCAAACGATGTTCGACTGGATGGAACTAGGGAAGCATTATCATAGATAACGCAAGAAGTATCGCGCGAGTTGCTTTCCAAGCGAGTTTCCTCGACGTGCATAAATTCGTTTCGAGCAACTTCCGCTCCTATTGTTATCGAGCGCACCCTACGCGTTTCGCGCTCTTCGCGACGTATCATTTTCCCGGTGGAAAATCCCGCGTCAGCACCGTGGAAATTCGACGCGAATCCGATTGATAAAGTTCGCCGAGAGTTTCTTGGGTTTCCTCCTCGTTGCTCGCGGAGGAAATTCGCGTGCAGTCGCCGCGCTGTCGGACAATTCCGAGCGAGATACCGTCGCATTCCATGACGGCCTCGTCATTCGTTCAGCGATCGTTGATGGCGTCTATGAACTCTGATGCCTCGTCCGGGAAATGCTCGAGAGAAAAGGGAAATCTGTGCTGACCTAAGTATCCGAGAATTCTTAGAAAATGGCCGCGTATCTGGATGATGTTGGAATTTAAAGAAAATTTACGCTAGGTATGGCTGACGATTTGCAGAAAATTACTGTTTGACATATTTGGGGGAAAATTTGGGGAAAATTAGTGTTCAGAAAAAACTGTAATATCTGTGAATTTAAGGGAAATTCAAATTTGGTATATCTAGGTAATTTCTAGTAGATCTGATGATTTATACAAAAGTTCATTCGTACAATAAAGTTGTCCAGAAAATCATGAATAATTTCAAACGTGGAAATATTAAAAATAGAGTGAAACATATACAGTCTGTGTAAGAGAGATTAAAATTGTGTGTGACGAAACCTGAAAGAATAGAGCGTCGTGTAGGAAAAATATTATGAAGAAGTAATTGTAGCGGAATAATCAAATGGCTAAGCGCCATAGATAAGACAAGGAAAGTAAACAAGAGGGAAGGTTTATAGCTGGCACCATAAATTGCATATCTTTAACTAATCTAAACAGAGTCTGTTTATTGGCCGAGGGACTGACATTAACTAAATTGAATATCTGGCAGTTAAAACAAAATCATTTGGATGGCAAATAAACTGCTTCCAGGAGAATTGGACACATTTTGAGATTAACTAAACAATCATTTGCAAAGCACAGTTTTTTTAATGTGGCTTCTTTCTCAGTATTATAATAATTTGTTAAAGCTTCTAATACTTTGATGTCTTCCATTAGCACTTGGAAAATAGCGAACAGTGTTCCAAATCTGTCGAGTCAGCGGATACTCGATGATGGTCGAGCGAGCAATTAAGGAAACTACATCGAACATATTTACTCTAAATAATTTACGTTTAGAATCATCGTTACCTTTCATGATGTTAAGATAAATTAACGTCTGTCCATTACCCACTGTTTCTACTTACGCTGAAATTAAAGTTGTACACTGAATTTTTAAAGTCGATTTTCCGGAAAACCTCTGGAATTCTCGTGAGAAAAAATTGCATTCTCTGTTTTCGGTTCGTTCTTTTAACGTAGACTCATCCCCCTCTTTGAGACACCCATGTACACGTAAGCTTACGTTGTAATTACAACGTTCGTTCCTGTAACGCGTTTATTTCTTACTCCACTTACAGTTATATAACATCTGTTGGTCTATGTATTTACTTGATTTGCTCGCACGAGGTTCCACGCTCCAAATTAAACACGATCTTGACACTAATTCGCAAATAATTGATCACCTCGGATAAGCTGCGCTCGTTCGTGCTTGTGCACGATTGTACGACTTATTTAGGTTTATATAGCGCGAATTACGTCTACCCTCGAGGCGATGTGTAAAAGTGTAAAAGATTGAGAGCCTACGCGAGTGCCTTTGGTTGCACTCGCGACGAAACGACCGACGCCTTCGCGCGTGTCCCAGGAATTTCATTCTTAATCGGTGTCTGGCAATTGCGATTCGTGTTATGAAAAGAGGGCGAATCGCGTAGCTCGCTAGAGAAACGATCATGCTAATAATAATTCTCGGGGGAAAGAAAATACCATATACTGACCCATCGAGACGACTGGAAATCTGAGAAAAACAATTTTTTTATTGAATTGTTCGAAAATTTCTTCACGATTGTCGTTTGTCATTAATATTATTATTCGTTAAAGTAACGTTAGAAATAATTTTATACATAAAGCATACGCAAGACACGCGTGATAGATTAAAACGCGATTTTCTGGTTTTTAAATTAATCAAATTCAAATCAAATTAACGGGTTCTGTGTATCCATCGTTAATTGTACTTGTGGCAGTTCAGGTAATATATTGTACCGCACTCACGACCATGAAGAATTATTACTTTCCTTAACAAATTGCTTTCCATTTAATATTGTCGAGGAATATAATTACTAGATATTTATTTAATAAGAAATATGCCTAACAGCACGGAACGCTTAATTAAGGCTTAATGCAAGAGTACAAAGTACTATGCTATTGCAATATCTGCTTATGGAATAGTGAGTTATATTATTTTATTAATTAAATATACGTGGTTTTGCTTGTAAAAAATCTCGTAACTTTAGCAATGTTTGAAGAACAGTTGTACGACCATTTAAATAATATCGTTCGGTCGAAGAAATCGTTCCCCGTTGCTTTGACGTGTACAAGCTAATATCGTTAATTATCGTAACGAAGTTGGTATTATCACGTGCGGGTAACGATCCGCGATAATTATTACGCTGCGCAGTATATGAACACGCAAAGAAGAATGTTAAGATCGTTGGCTCTTACGCTGTACCTTCGATTTCATGTACGATTTTTCGTGAAGGATTCTCTCGACGTCGAGAATTTAAAGACGGTCAACATTTTTATCTGGATAGTAATTTCGAATAACAAACAACAGGTAAACGACTGTTCGTCACAGGGTAAATGGGAATAAAAATATCAAGAATAGAATTAAATATTTCAGGACGAATAAATACAAATTCGTGTAAATCGTTATACGTATGTTGACTCTTTTTTTTGGTAATCCATTATAAAATTCTCATACAATTTGATTCACAGTTTCTTCAATTTAGATAAGCAGGTATTTTGGAGAATTTTAAATATTTTTACCAAGAAAAAAAATTGTGTAATACAATAGTGTTATGGCTTTTTTTTCCTTTTTGATTCGAGAGAACGCGTAGAAAACTGTCGCCGAGACTAGAGTAGCTCCTTAAGGCGATACAGGTCTGTAAATAAATGGTCGGTCAGTTTACGCGGACGAACGATCTGCGGTTTCAATTAAAGTCGTTCGTTTCTTGGTCACTCAAGGACTTTCGCCGAGTTGCACGAGGTCAGGTACACGAGCCACGGATCGGAGGCCTCGTTTCACGTTCGAGGAACAAGCGATCGGTCGGCGTGCGGTTACCAGATGACTGTACAATCGTACGGGCAATTAGCGCGGAACTGGTTTCATCGACGGATCGGTTCATAATTCGCGTCGACCATTACCAGCTTCCAAGAGATCGCGATCTTCGGTGGGAGGGAGGAGGGAGGCACGGTCCTCCGCGTCTCTGGAAGCAAGAAAGTTGCACGACGCGCCACACTTTTACTCCATCGCTTCTTTTTTTATCTCTCGTTTCGCTAATTGCCCCCTTTGCTTTCGTTACAGACTCCCAAGATGTCGATCTCGATGCCATCCTCGGCGAACTGTGCGTCCTGGAGCGACGCTGCGACGGCGACATCGCCGCTACGCCTGCACCGGACTCTCAGAGACAGGTCCGACCAAATAGCACCAGGATCACGGCTGGCGACAATACCGATATCGGCAAAAACGAAGGAGGTAATTCGTCAATTCGTAAAAATCACCTTGCATATCGTATTTATTAACCCTTTGCACTACTGTGTCGAGTGTGACTCGACATCAATTTTTATCTCAGGAGCTCCTTTTTCAATTCGACATTTTTTCAAGTTCAAACCAAACAGATCTCATACACTTGAAAATTACAAAATACAACAACAGTGTAAATAAAACTTATAATAATAAATAATAGTAATAAACGTATTTTAACAGGTAAATTTCAAATAAAACACTTAAAAGCATTGGGAGCCGCTGGTAACAAAATTGGAATATAATTTGGAGCGCAAAGGGTTAAAAAGTTATTAACAATTAAATTCAAAAATTTCAAATCGCTCTGGAAAAATTATTTTCGGCTGCGGAGGTTAATTACTATCATTTTTGGTGAATAAACATACCTCCGAAATTCTATCCACTTTCGAGAAAAAAATCGGGTAGGTGCTGAAATTTTTCGGCGCAAAAAAATTTTTCAAATCGTTCTAAAAAAATTATTTTCGGTTGCGAGGGTCGATTACAATCATTTTTTGTCATTACACATATCCCCGAAATCCTACGCACCTTCGAGAAAAAGATTCTTTACTGTAAATCTAATTAGGTGCCTAAATTTTTCACAAAGTAGAAAGGCCCCTTAAGTTAGACGAGGGAATTTTGACAAATTTAATCACAGAACACGTGTAGAATAATTAAAATCTAACTTGAATCTACCGATAATGGCAAATGCTTATTTTCATTTTTTTTTTATTCAACCTCTGTAAAAATATAACATCGATTTTTACGGTGGATCGTTGTCTTACAGCCTAGTTCTTTCACCTATTTTATCCAAAGCTGTTCGAGTCGAGGACGTCGAGAAGGCTTTGAAACGAATGAAAGGAAATTAATTCCTCGTGATTGGGCGAGAAAAAAACACGAGTTCAATGTTTTATCGCGCAAGATCATGCAACATTAGGAACACGTAACAATCTAGAAAGTACGTCTTATCGGAACAGATGTTCAAACATTATACTTTCCAGCTTTAGATAAGATGTACTTCCAAGATTGCCATTTTATGTACTTCTAATCTCCACTAACTTTGCACAATAATAGCTGGTATCGTCAGCAAGACCAACGATCAGTCATAAAACGCTTTATTAAAATTTTATTATATACACAATCACGGAACATATATTAAGAAACCATAAAATAATAACAGTGATACACGTAATATTCTATTTAGAAAAAAAAGACAAAATTAACGTTGAGTTGAATAAAATGCAGATTAAATAAGCTGAATCCAAATTCCGTCACGGTTCGATTACACCCTCTGAACAAATGCACATTCCAACATTTTGAACATGAAAATTCGCCCAAGTCGAATTCAATGCACAAGTTGCAATTCCGTAGATTGCATCGCTGGAACGTTACGCTTGGGTTCACCGACTTTTATAAATACACCGTTTAACTAGTCTAGTATGCACCGGGTGCCTAAGCGAACGTTGTAAAACGTTAATTGTCTGGTTTCGCACAGTAGACCTGGCAGAGAATATAGGTAGGTGGATATACCTGTGTTCCCAGTCGGTATAAATTTTGTTATCGATACCTACACCGTGGAATATTTATTGAATTAGATTAGTTGAAACAGCTGGCGTTCCTCGTGTATCGTGGGCTTTCTTTCTTTAACCGCGATGAATATTTGTTTCAGCTATGCGCACCGATAGTCCAGACAATGACAGCGCATTTTCGGACACGGTGTCGATGTTGTCCAGCGAGAGTTCCGCGAGCAGCAGCGGCTCTGGACACAAACCACCTCAGACCGCCATGCACACAGCCCCTCAGTCACAGTCACACCAACTCATGGGTGAGTTTCAACTTCCAAGTCGTTGAACGTCAAATTCAATCACGATTTAGAATTCGTCGAACAGATTTCGATTCGGGAGCATCGAAGAAAGTTAACATATCGAGCATGACGCTTGAGGTAAACAAAGAATCATCCACTGGTTACTGGAGTCCCACATTTTTATATGAAATTAGAGCTTTGTGTCGTTCGATCCTGCAAACTACCCAACTAATATTTGTGACGTTTATTGGATCAAGGAAGTCTAGTTTTACTTGTTGATCGTGACATATTTTCAAATTTAATTCAACGAGCGTCTGAGATTTCACGAATCAGTCTCTGCTGGGAGGTAAAATGCTTCAGTTTGTCTCTCGAGCGTATCTCCGTGTCTAAAATTATGAACCGAAGCGTTCCGAAATCGAATAAGACGCGTCGCTGCTTCGGCTGGAATAACTGTTTTGACGATAATTCGATTTTCCGTTACAAGACGCCGCGAGCAGAGTCAAGGCAGAGAAAATCCGATTGGCGCTGGAGAAGATGCGCGAGGCTAGCGTACAGAAGCTCTTCATCAAAGCCTTCACGTTGGACGGGAGCGGGAAAAGTTTACTCGTGGACGAGGGGATGAGCGTGGCTCACGTGTGCAGGCTGCTGGCAGACAAGAACCACGTGCCGATGGATCCTAAATGGGCCGTAGTCGAGCATCTGCCTGATCTCTTCATGGGTAAGCTGATCGATAAACAGACACGATTGCAACTCTGGCTTCCATATTGTTTCAAGCCATATTACAAATTATAATTATTTTACAGTGCACTGAACAGCTCCATTACGAATATTATTTATAATATTTTTCTTCGCAGAAAGGGTATACGAGGACCACGAGCTGCTGGTAGAGAACCTCTTACTCTGGACGAGAGACTCCAAGAACAAATTGCTTTTCGTCGAGAGGCCCGACAAAACTCAGCTGTTTTTTACCCCGGAGAGATTCCTTTTGGGCCCAACCGACAGAAGCAGCGGCGAGTACGACGATCACTCTCGTAACATTCTCTTGGAGGAGTTCTTCGCCAGCAGTAACGTCGGTGTACCCGAGGTAATTAGCCTCCAAAGATAATTTTCTAACACCAGACGAATCGTCTAACGAATCTTTAACTTTAATTGTAGGTCGAGGGACCATTGTATTTGAAGTCGGACAGCAAGAAGGGCTGGAAGAAGTACCATTTCATCCTGCGAGCGTCCGGTCTTTACTACTCGCCGAAAGAGAAGGCTCGCGCCGCGAGTAATCTAGTTTGTCTGGCAACATTCGACGTGAATCAGATCTACTACGGGGTCGGCTGGAAGAAGAAGTACAAAGCACCGACGGACTTCTGTTTCGCCGTGAAGCATCCCAGACTGCAGCAACCGAAGTCGACGAAGTACATAAAGTTTCTCTGCGCGGAGGACAACGCGTCTTTGGAGCGATGGATGGTCGGGATCAGGGTAGCCAAGTACGGCAGACAGCTGATGGAGAATTACAGGACCCTCGTGGACGAATTGGCGCAGGAGGATCTGGATATGCTGGCACACGCGAGATCGTGTTCCGTCAGCTCGATCGCTGTGCCGCCTCAGAGTCAAGCTCACTACAACACCAGCAACGACAATGCTCGACAGTTCACGGAGAATTCGAGGCACAGCGTGGAGTCTGCCAACGCCAGACAGTACGATGGACAGAGGCAGAGTTACAATCCCGAGCAACGACAGAGCTACAACAACGACGGAAGGTTGAGCAGAGCCAGCAGCTCGAGTTCGAGCGGATGTTTGTCGGATGGAGCACCCAGTAGCTGCGAGGTAAGTGTCTCCAACGTGGTCACTGTTCGTTCTTAGAACCTTAGCTCACTGTTTGTTTTGTGCTACAGGTGGCTTTCGAGTGTGGCGAGTTTCCAACGGGAACGATAAAGAGGAAACCGTCGATGAACCCGAAGTTGCCTCTAACGTCCATCACCAGACAGCTGAAAGAAGTGGGTGAGACTGTTCGAGACGAGCCAGACTCTTGTCCAAGTCCCACGAGTTCTGGATCCGGCACGTTGACCAGAAGGCACAGTCGAAGAAGGAGCGGTACAGACTCTGATGGTTCTGGAACGCTAAAAAGACATCACCGATCTGGCAATGCGACTCCAGTTAGCCCGGTACCGCCTGGCACGCCAGTTAGGGAAAGAGCAAGTCCTATGGGGTATAACAGAGAGTCTCAGGAATCGAAGACACCAACGAGCCCTATTCCATCGTGCATGGTACGTATTGCTTCTCTCGCAAGTACTCGATCGACCAGATATTCGTGAAAGATTCATAAATTAATCAAAATGGGGTGACAAGTTTGAATACTTCTTAACATTTAATGATAGGTTGGAGTATTGAGATACAAAAAATTATAGAATTTGCTGTTATAATAACTTTATTGTTAACAATAATACAAAAATGAAGCTTTTCAACTTTTCAGTGTTCGAGTCAATCTCAGCATTCTATCGATTAATTTAGTTACGGTTATATTAGGAATTCCTTTCCAAACATTCTGTAAAACATTCCAGATATCTCGGTTAGATTTTGGGCAGTGTTGTCTAACCTTCCTTTCAGGGTGATCCCAGAGCAATTCGATAACCATCTCATGTCTTTTCTTTCTTCTCTGAATACAATGATGTTTTACAGATGGATTCGATCACTTCGTTACCGCCGCCACCGTCACCGTCGAGAGTGGTGGAGGAGACAGAATCCGACAGCGAGCCTCTGCCTCCGCCCCCGCCGGAAATGTTCCGCTCTAACTTGTCTCTGGACTCGCTGCCGCCGCCACCAGCACCCGGTGAGATCCCAGTGTGCAACACGCCGGAGCTTTCCGGGTCGTCGTTGAGCCTCGCGTCGCTCCCGCCACCCCCGAGTCCCCTGGTAGGCGAGACAGGGACGATCCGTCGCGCGAGACCGAAACAGTCCACGCCAACGAACTCGATCACCCCCGAGAACACGCCCACGCACACGCCATCGAGGCAGTCGAACAACCAGCAAATGTACTCGAACGCGAACAGCTCGCTCCAAAACAACTCGACGGTACAGAACAACCAGAACTACAATCCCAACATGCAGAACGCTCATCACGCGAGCAACGCGTCGAACTCGGTGTCCTCTCCGCCCAGCTCATACCCGGGATCCAGCGCCAGCACGCCCACCTACGCTCCCAGTTCGCCAGGGTTCGCATCACCGCCGCCGTTCGTTCCTCCGCCGGCTTACGGGTCCCAGCAGCAGCACACCACTTCCCAGAGCCTGACAAGGCAGAACTCGAAGCCGGAACCGATGTACGGGGTGCACCAGGTGCATCAACACAACACTATACAGCCGATCAGGCCAAACCCGAACATGGACACTGTACGACGAAGCGCCATGAAGCAGACCTCGAGCCACTACGCTGCCCCGCCGTACCTGGCAGAGCTGAAGGCCGCCTCGAGTCCACAGCCCCAGCGCAGGGTGACTATCCAAGAGCCCCCAACGTCGCCCAAGTCCAAGACGGGCACCGGGAAGAAGATCACGTTCAACCTTCCGCCTCAACAGGAGCCTGGGAGCCCTGCGCTGCCGCAGAGGAAACCCATGCCACCCAGGAGATCCGACAGCACGAGGCTCACGTCCCCCAAGAAGCTCGCTGCCTCCGACCAGGCTCCTCCCGGCGACTTCCTCAAGGATCTCCAGCGAGTGATGAGGAAAAAGTGGCAGGTGGCGCAGAAATGCAAGCTGGACTCGACGACCACACCCCACGAAGTCCTCGGTTTCCGCGATCCACCTCCAGCCGTGGCGGACTACAGGGAAACGAACGTGTCGAACTGGGTGCAGGAGCACTACGGGGCCGACAATCTCTACGAGAACGTGTACGCGACGGATCCCCACGCGCCTGTGGAGTACGCATCCAGCCCCGCCAGACAGTCGACGGTCAGATTCGCGGATGAGAATCGCAGCATGAACATCGTGAACGCGATCGCGAGCAAACGAAGGCCACCGCCACCGCCCCCGAAGAGGGCAGAGACCACGCATCTGACCACCACCAGAGCGATGCACTGACAATAGCAGATAATCCAGCCCCATCCCGAAAGGCGATGGTATTGCTGTCTGTGCAGCTGGTGGAAGGACTAAGGGCGGAGGAGGAATTCGCTTTGTTCTGTGATTTTGGTCGCCGTTTTCGAGGTCCCGGCGTCGAGTCATCGTCCTCCGCGTCGCCGTGCACCGCCGTTCAAACCCGGGGGATGTCCAGGGAATAGAGAAAAGGGGATTTCGACGATCGTCGAAGATCAACCGTACGTTCGCGATAGGGGGGAACAGAGTTCTGTTGGAAACACTTTTATCTATCCAACAGTCGCGAGCCCCGTCAAATAGGATAATCGATGTAAATTTAGAATTTCGAGGATGAAAGTCTGATCGGATACTGCCAATAAACGATCGTTAGGGAATTTTTTTAGCGAGAACGTCGCGGATAATCCGGAGGCTGCTGACACCGAGGGGTCCCGATGTGAAACATCAAATCTCAGCGCCCGGTTCGTCGACGGTCATTCAACTAGAGCGTAAGGGAAACACTGCCGCACATATTGAGGATGTGATATATAAGTCTTAAGCTCCCATTTTTGTTTACGCGTCGCGTTCCGGACGGAGCAAATTGCGTCTACTGTTAGGCTGCATTCCCGACGGAACGGACGTTCTCGCGTGTTTTTCCATTTCGGATGGAACAACCGTAGAGACCCGGGGATATAGTAGTCAGAGTCTGCAACACGAGCTTGATGGAAACACGCGAGAAGAACTGCGTTTTTTTTTAAAAATCCTCGTACATAGGTGTGCATGTATATAAATGAAACACATATGAGCGTTTATATCAATATATCGACTTTGATGCTGTATGTTTAGACGATAACGATTCGAACTATCCTCTGCGACGCGGACACGATGACGCTTAACGCGATGGACCTCGAGCGAACGCCCACGCGCGGCTCCCGTTAGCTATCGCTTACTCCTAAACGCGAGAGATCTTGTTTACGCCATTCTCATCTTATTTTCGTTCCCGTTTTCGCTGGCATTTCGTTCGGATCGAATAAACGCGCCAAAAGGCTTCGAGTAAAGCTGATAGAATTTTGATATCACGCGTCGTGTCCTGGCGACGATCAATACACACGCGAGTCGAAGACGACCATTATACTCGAGCAGGTTTTTAACTCTCGATCGCTTCCGCCGGTCCGTTCGAATGTAAATAAACGCTGCTTGGATTTATAACGATTTTACAAGCGGAACGAACCCCGGGCGATTCGGTGCACTTTGATCGTTCGTCCACGATACCAACGATGCTCCAATACGAGGGCAACGTATCGCGTCAGATGTTCACACTACTTTTTCTACACCAAGGATACGCGAAAAGAAAGGAGGGACTCTGGAGGAAACAGCATTCTTGAGCTGCCATTTGCACAATGGAATTTTCAGCAACGATCGAAGGCCTGAATCCTGAATCCTGAATACTGAATACTGAATTCCTCAATCCTGACTCTTTTGTACCCACGAATTTCTACCGAGTTTCACGCGTCCTCCTTCGAGGACATCGAAGACGTCCCCGTCGCGTTCGAGAGGAGTCTCGCCGTGTCCAGGTGGTTTTTACAAGCGTTAAGGATACCGGGGGACCCGAGATGCGATATTTTCTACTACCCAATTTTGATAGAAGCTAGACGATCGTAGGGAGATTAACTCAATGCCTCTCTCGACGTGCTCGTTTCTAATCGATCACACGCGGACACGCGAGACCCCTGCGACGGAGGAACCCTACACGCGTACGACGATCCCGTGGATCGATCGACGCCGATTTAAATGTAACTTGTAATTTGTCTGCCGTGCGCGCGGTCCAATCAAACTGAACCAATAATAGTAAACGGTAATAATATTGCTAACGAATATACGTTTTTTTTTTGGGACTAATGTATCGATCTTATGGAATCTTGATCGTTGTCTTTTACGATAAGCTCGTTTATACGACGAACCGTCCGGCAGGCTTTTTCCTCGCCCGGGACGATCGGTTCGACGACAAACTGCCGCCACGATGGAGGGTTTCTTAACGCGAACGTTCGAGAAATTGTTCACGATTTGGAATCGTCGACGGAAGAGGGAATCGTTTTTGGTCCCTGTTCAAAGCTCTGTTGTTTGAGGATCGAAAAAACGACGGAGAATGAAGTCGTTGCTCGGTTCTAATTCAACGTTAATAAAAGAGAAAACGTTCTGTTGCTCGTGGATAGAAAGGGTAGTAGAAAGTCGATCGACACGCAGTTCTAACGAAATGGAATTTTTAACCTTTAACGATATATTGTTGGGGAATGAAAACACAGGGGAAGGAGACACGTGTTCTGATTAAACGTGAACCGAAAGAAATTGTTAACATTGAGTGAACGATGAGTGGCACCATGATAGAACGTCGACAAACAGGAATTTTTAACCTCCGTTCCAGATTCGAGAGAGTGATAGAGAATAGGATAACGTTCGTTTCCCTAGGGTAATAGGGAAAATTCTTTCGAATTTTGTTGAAATTTGAATTCTCAACGTTGTCTGCGAACGAAAAGAGTAATAGGGAATAGGACGATGTACGCGTTCAAAATGAACGCCCCCGCAGTTAGGAATTTTTTGTCAACGCTTTGTAACCCAGTCGAGTTGGACGATACTTCAAGCGTTTGTATTATTTGTAAGATTTGATTTATTTATTTCGCGTTCTGTGTATAATTATTATTCTGAAACGGTAGTACAAATGTTGGATGAATAAAAGGGGGCGTGTAGAAGCGAAAATACAGTTGTACATCTTGACTTGACGCGTAAAGATCCGTTGAACGAAGCTTCTTAGAAATAACTAAAGTTGTAATAAATAAAATCTTTAGCCGACAGACTGGGTTACAGAGGGTTGGATAACTTTTTATTCAAATTTTAAGGCCTCTTTTCAATATTATCTTACTTTCGTCCTGCGACATTTAATCTGTACATTTTTAGTAAACATAAAGTGATATAATTTTGGGTAATAACTTCGAGAAGAGTTGTGTTCTGGATTCCCAAACGCCAGCGACTGCGAATTCGAACTTTTACGTATCGTTTTACGTAACGCTATTGAAACGAGACCTAGTGGACAGAGTGTTTCATAAAATATGGTCACGACTTTGGGCTGGAACACGTTACACGAAGATAATAAAGAAAGTTTCTATATAAACAATCGTTCCATCTTTTTTTTCTTCGATTTCGTTTTCAGCGCGTCGAGCGTAATTTTCTCGTTTAGAACAGTGTAAGTAAAAAAGTGTCTGAAAGCTTGATCGAACAACGACTATTATTAAAATTGTTTCACGCGAACCTCGATTACCTTGGTGCACAGAAGTTTGTCCCCATTTTATGAAACATGCTGCGGGAACGACTATAGAAAGCATAGTAACGGAAAATAAACGGATGCAATCTTGATAATGTATTTATTGTCACAGGGAAACTCCTCGAGATTTTTTAATATCAATACTAAACAAAAAATAGATCCATGGATGACTCTGCCTTTTTCTATTATCCTGTCAATCGATGCTCCATCGCGAAGACTCTTTTTCCGAAGCTTGCGTTCGTTGATTTTTCGTTCCCTTTTTCCTCGAATATTCGCGCGAAGGGCGCGCCACGTGGCTCTAGTTTTCCAGAATTTTGTACGAGAAAACAACTCCTTTTTGTACTCTTACCGATTAAGGAACCTCATCGAGCCGAACTCGGAGATAAAATCGCGCTCGATCGCTCGAAACTCGCACGACGATGGAGTTATCGACTTGGAATATCGAGAATTGAATCGGGGAAAATTCGTAGCGACTTGAAGTCGCTGGTCATTGCCAGAAAGAGAGAAAGAATGCGAGAGACGGAAGATGATTGTAATAAATCGATCGCCGTGTCGTTAACCACGATCACGAAAGAATTATGTTTATCTGTATCGTACCTATCTTTTCTTTCTCCGATCGAGTATACCCTGTGTTGTACGTACGTTTTTTGTAAATATTGTAACGAACGCGTTAGTGCAAGGAGGAAAATGATCGTCGCGGGGAACACGCCCGCGATCGATTCAATTAATATAAATAACGCACTATATTTGTGACGACGGGGAAACGAGACATTCGTTTTCCTTTTTCTTTTCGATTTTTCGTTCCTGTCGCGTCACGGTCGAAGGACGCGCCCAATATATTGGCGAGAAAAAAAAGGAAAAAAAAAACAAACCGGAAATCCAATCTTGCGAACGGTGCTCCAACCGCGTTCCGTTTAACGGACGCGACCCTTTGGATACTATGTTTGCATCTTATCGATTAATTTCTTTCTTTCTTTTTTTTTAAGTATAGTTTTAGAGTTAGATCCGTTTAATGGTTGTTTCTTTTCATTCGACTATTGCGACGTTAAAATTGCGACAATACCGATTAATTCTTGGAGAACCTATCTCGACGCCATTTGTTTGGGTATGACACCGGGTGGAAAAACAAACAAAAATAAGAAATGCGCAGCAGTTGAAATATTATAGGTATTATATTCATGTTTTTATGTAAATAAATTTTTGGTATATTTCAATGATCGTCGACTGTCATTGGGCGATACCTCCTCATCCCTATTATGGATTTACACTTAAACCGACGGGTTACAATTTTCATTAAATTCTTTCCCAAGGAAACTTTATTTTTTTAATAGTAAGGCTCGAAATTATTTTTGTGTTTTTGTCGAACAGGTGTCATTTGATATAGAACATGCTCACAACCTCGTAGCCTGATTTATAATTAACATTTCATAAAATTAAATAGTCCTCTGCATCAGAGAATATAGTGCAATTGAACCAAAATTTCAATTAGAATTTTCTATTAATAATTTTGCAATCACATCGAATGTAATACTGTTTCACTCTAGCTGTATACCCCATTTTAATCTTATTTTATTATTTATATTAAGTTTTCGTAACTGTGTCTTTCCCCACAGGTGTTCAATGTGAATTATATTTGGTGATCGTGAAAAATCTTAAAAAATAATTTACCAAGAAATTAATTTTTGTATAAAATGTGTACAACTTTAAAAAATTCTCTTCTAAAAAGCTTGGTGCGTTTCATATATTTTTCTCAGCAAAAATTTAACGCAAAATTGCACGCCCAGAGGAAACTGATATAATATTTTCGTTCGCGTCAGGATTTTTAGCCTGCCATAACGTGTGCAATTTTCCGAAAAATTTCGAATCAGACTGGTGCGGACTTTCCAACGGGTGCAGGTGATAAAACAGTGCTCGTTGCTGTTCATAAAACGCTTCAATAAAAAAGCCCCGTTTTTAATATTCCCGTGCCGCGGCAGGGTCGTGTCGCGCAAGTACGCATAAACTCTTCCGCTATTGGATTTTCTTTGCATAAACCAAATGCTCGTATAACGCAATATCGTCTCTGGTGTCCGATAAAAAATTAAGCATCCATTTTCGGCGTCTCTTTATCAATGAATTTTACGCCTTCGAACCACCAATTACAATTCACGTACACCGAAGCCATTAAAAATTTCAGCTCTTCTAACGTTTCGAATAAAAGAAAAATAACAAATCTATGGTAAAAGGTAATAACAGGAGTCTCAAAGATCGAACCACAGTATATAATATTAATTTTCATACATAGAACATCTTCTCTATTCACTATGGCCAACTCTCCCCAAATAAAATTTTTATTCTAAACAAACTCAAGACTCTTCAAACCTTCTAAGAAAGATTTACCTTTATTAGCCAGAAATGAAATTTTTGCACACGATTCTCAAGTCGAAGAACTTTACAAATAAATTTACCGACACACCCAACATTTTTATTCGTTATTCGAGAATAAAATTTACACCGTGGACAATTACACCGTGTTCGATAAGTAATTTCTTTTCGGGTGTTCTGTAAACCGTGGCCCGTACCTTCGCCTACGTTGTTTCATAACTCGAGAGGATTGACGTAAATATATGAAATTGCCGGCTGCCACGTTGCCGTGGGTACGGGGGTACAATTTTATAGGTTCCTTTTACGACTTATGGGAGTCGTGTGTTCTACTTTGCGTTTACGTTATACGCGACCCTCGAGCGTTTACGTCCTCCTCCATCGGAGAGCATCTTCCTTCTTCTCTATCGAAAACCGTCCAAAAAATTCTTGCCTCTCTTCCCTTTCGAATTCTTTAAGGGCACCTAGCACGGGTATATGAAATCATCTCCGTCTCGAAAGTTCTACGCGCGACGCGTGGTCGTTTCCCGGGGCTAGGATCCAATACGAATAGTTTCACGTAAAATTTTTCTTACGCACCCTAACTCTTTCCTTGGACTTTTACGATTCTTATGGAATTTTTTCCTGAATTCTACTTCTGGTAGTTTCAACTCGAGCCTTTGTAATTTGCTACCCTGGAATTAAGGAGCCAGGCAAAATTCTTTTTGAAAAAGATTTCAAATGGGGGGAAATAAAGTCCTATATGTTCTATTTATTAATATTGAAAATTGCAGTTCGATGTTTAAGATTCCTATTATTACGTACTCTGCCGTTTACTGGGAACAAATTAACACATTGACTGTCATATATGGATGATATGATTTTTTATTAAGGAGCTAAAACTAATTCTCAGGACCAGATGTTGAAGAAAGTAAATCTAGATAGGACTCTTGAACGAGTTTGTAAAACTAAGTAACAAAGTATGGCCATGCTAGTTTCCAGTTGTCTGAAAACAAAGTGTCGTTTTCGTGGACAATTTGAGGGGTTTGGTCTGACAGTCAATGTTTTAATTCGGTTGTAAGCCTTTTTATAGTATAGTGTAAAAGGTAAGTCTCTAAATTATACCTGTGAAAGTAAAAAATATAGTTGACTGACGTAATTATTTTACTAGCATTTCAAAGAAATTATTTTACTGTTTCTTAAAAGAAGAAATTAATCCTTTTCATTCGATGCAACGGTGCAAGTGCAATGTCGAGCGTTATTTCTTCACGAGACACGTGGTCTTCACGCTCCACGCAATATGTCACCATAATTTCAGGAAAGAATAATTATAAATAATATACACCTAATCTAGAAAATGAAATCTTATCTCAATCATTAACCCATACATTTTTTTGATTATTTTCGAAATCTGTATTGCTCGTGTTCGATTTGATAGGATTTATTTCGTAGAGGGAAGAAATATATATAAATAAATAGTTTCATGTCACCATAATTTTGAGAAAGAATAATTATAAACAATATACACGTAATCTAGGAAATGAAATCTTCTCTCAATCATTAACCCATACATTTTTTTGATTATTTCTGAAATCTGTAATGAGATTTAGTTCGTGGTGGAAAAAAAATATGAAATAGAATTTCGAAGCAAAAGTAGGAGGTCTGGGAGGTCGAAGCCGCTTCACCGGGACCCTGAAAAATAATGCGAACCACGGAAAGGTCAAAGTGTGTTAGAAGCCGGGCGACGTCGTCCTCGTGGCGCTCGACCTCGTATAGCCGTCCTGGCCACGAATGAACGAAGAGATAAAACTGGCAGGGGAACGGTCGAGATAGCGGGCCGATTTCGAGCGGTCCGCTTTCCAGGAACACGGGCGTAAATCACGATTTTATTACCGATAATTTTACGAGGAGTCGAGCCCGCCGCCGCCGACGCTGTTCGAGTGTCGGCTACCTTAAACTCGTAATCGCGCGTCCCGTGAACCCCGGTCCACGGCCGCGAAATCGTCGGCGAATTAGAAATACTTGACGAACCGAGCCCTGGAACTCTTCGGCGACGTTTTGCACGAAATCTGGTTTCGTATCGTCGAACACGTTTTGCATCGTTCTGCAGGGAACCGCGCCACGGGAATCCTGATACCGTGCCAGATCACCTAGATCTTGGCCATCGATTAATAATCGAGTTCGTTTCTTTTTATCGAACGATACGATAGAGACTAGCTCAAACCTCTAGAATTTAATTTCGTTGAATTAATGTTCTTCAAACTGTGTTCTACTTTTGTCATCGATGTACAGTAATGATTCTTAAAATGATTCATTTCTCGTATAGGAATGTTCAATTTACGAATCACGTCGTTCATTTTAAGAATCACTGTATCACGATGTGTTTGCATATGAATTGTACGAAAATTTTCGGTTCTTAGAGAATGGTCTAAATGAGGTTGGTTCTCACTAGTATTTCGTTTTTGAAAATGGAAGATAAGAATACATATTTCAGGGGCACAATTTTTAAATGAGGAATAGCTATTAAATCGACTGAATTCTGTAAGAAGACCTTATAATGAATTCCTCCCAGTGTTACAAGCAGAAAGAAGGATTAATTTCGAGTTAAAATATTATATTGTATCGAGAAAAATGGGTCAGTAAGTAGAATGAGACCAGTCTGACCTGGTACGCTTAATCTTTCATGTACCCTACATTATTTTCAATTATAATCACTCCACGGACAGTGGAATAATGCATATAGTGAAAATGAATGGCCATTCGATGTCACATTGTTGCAAATAATTAAATTCGACCTTTTATCTATCACAACGCAGGACTAAAAAAAGTAAAAATTAACTCCAATTAATATAATATATATATACAGTTTTTTACTTCGTTTAAAGATTGCACATAGCTTGACCACACAAAAATTGAGCACGAAATCGTGATTTTGGGGGGTGTCACTTACCCTCGACTCCGTTTCTCGGTCTCCGCGCCGTCTCTGTCCAATATTAATTGACGGAAATCCTTCCCGGAGAGAATCTACGAAGTTCGTAATAATCTCTCCGGCTCTCCGCGATCCTCTCGGAAGATATTTCAAAAAGTTCGGTCTCGCAGTAGAGTTCCATTAAAACGGACGAACATCTTGAAAACTCCAAAAACACGTCCTAGAGTTCGAGGGACCGTGATCAGAGAACAAAAGCGACGACTTCTTCTTTCCCCCCGGCCCGTTTTATTGACTTCGCCGACGAGTTCGTCTATCCGACGACCAGTCAATTAAGTTTGATCAGCGAAAGTTTCGTCGAAGGAGAATCAGCATAAGTTTGCGCCGAGGGAAACCACGGGCGGGGTACGGGATAGACTATGCACCTTATGGGAGTCGGTGTCGCGTAGAAACGTGAAATATTGATGT